CCCCCCCGCAAGCTGCCCACCTTCCTGGGCGTCGTGGTGCCCACGCTGCTCTCCATGTTCAGCGTCGTCCTCTTCCTGCGCCTCGGTGAGTTCCCCTGCCCCCCGGCGCGTCCCCGTTTCCTTCTCCCAGCCGCGGCCCGGAGACCCCTGAGACTCACCAGCCCTGCCTGGTACCACCGGTCCAGGCCCCGGGTCCTCCCGAGGACCCCGCGTCCGGAGCCCCCCACGCCTGGAGCTCCTTTGCTGCCCCCGGGCGCCCTCAGTCTGGGTCTCCAGTCTTCTCAATGTCCTCCCAGTGCCCTCTCCTGAGCTTCCTGACTGGATTCCCACTGCTCCGCTGCAGTGCTCGCCCAAGTGCCCCCAGTCTGGAATCCTAGTGCCCTCTCAGTCCCCCCCAGGCTGGGGTCACAGGGCTGTGTGTCCTCTCCTGACCCATCCATCTGGGGCCGGGATCCCCAGGGATCCTGCTATACCTGCAGGATGGGAACCTCAGCGTCCCCCAGTAAAGTGTCCCAAGTCTGAAGCCCTAGTGTCCTTGGGGCAGGACCACTGTGCCTTCCCTAAGTGGGACTCCAGTGCCCTTGTGTACCCCTATCCCCGCTGCAGGGAACCCACTGCTCCCCAGGCATCCCCTAGTGCTGGGCTCCAGCATTCCAGTTCTCTCCCAGAAGATGTCCCAAGGGCAAGACCCTGGTGTCCCCTGTCAGGCACCCAGCACCTCACCCTCTCTGCGCTGTTAAGAGACCACAGATTGTTTCCCAGTCTGCTCCCAGTTTGGGTTGCAAGTCAATTTCTGGACAATCTGGGAGAACCAGGGAGGCAGGCTGGGCATGGACCGGGGGAAGTGGCAGCCTTTTAGGGTGCTAGGGGGGAGGACATGCCCCAGCCTTGCCTGGGACAGGGAGAGGCCCAGGACAGGCAGCCTGAGTCCGGGAACAGGGAAGGCTTTTCCTCTTTTGCTTTCCGCCCCCGGAAAGCCCAGGGCGGGAGTTGGCTGTGTGCCTGGGGGGCCCGACAGGCTTCAGGGAGGCTCTGAGCCCTTTCCCCTGCCCGAGGGACCCCTGGAGCTGAGGTCTGAGGACACAGCTCTCCTCTGCCATCACTCACCTCCTTCCAACCCCCCTGCCTGGAGCCCTCACACAGGCTCTGACCCCCCAGCCCCTAACTCACAGCAGACACTGAGGCCCCCTGGCCTGCTCCAGCCTCCCCACTCGGGGGTTTGTTACCCCGGGGGGACCGTGGAGCTGGAAGGGAAGTACTGGGTGGAAGGGGAGGAGAGCTGCCGGGAAGAGGAACCATCCCATGATGAAGGGGGCTGTGGCTCCCCCCCGGCAGCCCCCCTCTTCCTCCATGCCTCAAAGTCCCCTCAAATCTCCAGAGCAAGCAGCCCCTCCTGTGTACCCCCACACTGCTTATGGGGCACCTCTTTTAATTCCCACCGCCTCCCCAACCCTGCTTTTGGTACTCGGGCACCCTCCGGCTTCCAGGGACCACAGGGGGTGCCCCTAAATACAGTCTGTTTCCCCAGGTGCTCCTTGTGGTGCCCATGTCTGGCTGTGGCCCAGCACCCCCCTCACCCCCCCGCCGGGGGCGGTGGTGGGCGTG